ACTAAGTTCTAGTGAAATTATTAATTAATATATTTATATATATTTTGTTAATGAGAAATTTCTCTAATGGTGTGTTTGGTTGGGGGATTTGGGGAGGAATTTAGAAAGAGAAAGGGAAAAGGTGTGTGAAACTATGTGAAATGTAAGTATATTTTATTCACATTTCACCTAACATTTCCTTTTCTCTTTCCAAATCCCTCCTCAAATCCCCCAACCAAATACAGCGTAAGAGTTACTTCAATCAATTCTAATATAACATGCTACCATATTATAAAATTTCTTTATAATACAATATTCATAGGGTGCTAATTATACCAAAACGGGGATCCTTAATGATTATAAATTAAAATATATTACAATCATGGACAAATAAAATACAAGACAATACTCAGGTGACAACAAATATTTTCTTATTTCATATGGGTTTTAATCTAAATGATTGTTAAGCTTTGTGTTATGTTGCCTACTTGGGCATTTATTCACATGTACAAAGTTGTTAACATAGGGAAGGAATAACTTAATAGCAAGCATTTATTTCAACTAAAATGAGGCAATCATATTTTAGTTTGTCCTGATTGAAATACCTAAATTCTATCACTGCTTTTCATATTTGTAAGTAAAAATGATATTAGAGTATTTTTATTTATTAGTGTCTTTCAACATTACTACACATCATTTGGTAGGATTTGAGTGATCTATTCATTAATATATTTAGAACATTGTCATGTGATATCTCAATGGGGCCGAGATCGGGCCATCCTAGATTTCTAAAGCCTCGGCCTTATACATGGGTTTGAAAATAAGGCCTTATGGGTTTCAAATTGGGCTGGGCCCATGTGACCTAATTTGGCCATAATTTAAGTTTTAATTCAAACTTTTTTTTATTTTTTATTTTTTATTAAACTCAATATTCATTAAAAAAATAGGAAATTATAATACAACATTTTGAAGTACATCACAACATTTAGAATTGCATATTGAATCATGAAAAATAAAAAATAAAAATCATTTATTAAAATACAAAAAATTGCATCATAAATTACATGCATCTTCAATCTTGGAAAAATCTATTCACTAGTTTTATAGTTGACGATCACTTAGTTTCTTAATTTTAATATTTTTTTTTATTAAATATATGAGTACACAAAAAAAAAATTTAAGACAAAATATTATTCATTATTTAGTGTATACGGGTCTAATACGACCTTTTGGCGAGCTTTGGAAAGCTCATTGGACCGTCTTGCCATCCCACCCTTCGGCGCAAACCAAATCCTTACATATTAGGGTCGGGCTGACCCATCCTCGAGTCTAAGTTTTGCCCGTAGAAGAGTCAATCCACTACTTTTGTATTAATGATCATGAAGATAATAGAAAATGACAATTAAATAACGGTAGAACTACATGTATTAATTAATGTATTGTAGAAATTTAATGTATAAAGAGAAATAGAGAATTGTATTATTGATTGATGTATCTTGATATTCTGTGTATTACAAATGGTGAGTGGCTCATTATATAGGAGAGGGTGAGTGTAGTAGGTGAGGAGTAGGTGGTGGTAGGTGAGTGTAGTAGAAAAATTTATTAAATTATATCATTTCATCAGCTGATACAATAGTTAGTATACTAATTGGTGTATATAGCATTATTTATTAAATAATCTCGATTAATACTATATGCACCAATTAATGCATTAACTAGTGCACAAATTGATGATGTATCATAATTTAAGATATTTTTTATATTTATAATTTATATAGTGAATAGAATTAATAATAACGTCATAATTAATATTAAGATATTAATTAATGTATGATCAATTTTTTGTGTTTACTTTTCACCCACCAGGCTACCATCATCATGATTTTCATGTTGCATCTTAAAGTAAAAAATAAAATAAAATTTGCAAAAATCCTCGGGTCATGAGTCAATCCACTACTTTTGTATTAATGATCGTGAAGATAATAGAAAATGACAATTAAATAATGGAAGGCATCAATTCTTTTGAGTTTACTTTTTACCCACCAGGCTACCATCCTCATGATTTTCAGTGTTTCTTCCTAAAATAAAAAATAAAATAAAATTTGAAAAAAGGGTTAAACAGGTGATTAATTCCTTACATATAGGTGTTATTTGATAAAGTTAAAAATTAAAAATTAAGTATTAAAAATTGAATACATAATTTATTAAGTTAAAAAATTATTTACTAAAAATTTAAATGTTAAATTAAAAATAAATTATTTGATATATATAAAATTATATATTATCATAGTGGTGGCAGTGATGGTGGTGATGGTATGGTGATGATTGTAGTGGTAGTGGTGATGGTGGTAGCGGTAGTGATAGTGGTGGTAGTAGCATGGTGGTGGTGGTGCTAGTAGTAGTGGTAGTCATAGTGATAGCAGTAGTGATCGTTGTGGTGGTGGGGGTGATGGCAGCGACAGCGACAGCGATAGTGGCAGTGACATAATGGTTGTGGTGGTAGTGAGTCTATAATTGTATAGACTGATACCTACATTATTTATAAATTCAGATAGAATTAAATAAATTTCGTATGACTTAAATTTTTTTTAAAATTTTAACCTACATTTTAAGAAGTATTTAAATTTTTAAGTAATATCATTTATGATTATCAAACATATTTAATTAATTATCATTTAATACATTCAATTTTAAGTATTAAATCATATTATCGAACCGTTCATACCCATCCACTGAATTTTTTCAGATAAGTCACACTATGAATTTAAACAAAAGGTTTGGGATAATTATAAATGACAAGTAATTCACCACTATAATTATAAATGACAATATATATACATATAGTAACTCATCACTATAATTGTAAATGACAAGTACCTTTAATAACCAGACGAAAACAGATTTCCATTTCAACCACTAAAATTCAAATCAAAGAAAATAGAATATAAGTGGGGGTCAACATCAGTGTCACCTTTAAAATTAATATTATTATTATTTAAAGAAAATATCAGAGAAAAAAAAGAATAATAATAATTGAGGGTGTGGGTTTGTTTGTCAACATCTAGACACCCTCCTCCGACTTTGTGAGCTCTCTCCCTTGAAATCAGACCGGTCATCGTTGGACACGTACGCCTTTGATGTGATGTGGTAGGGTTCATAGTCTTTGTTTTTTAAGAAAAATTATATTAAAAAAATCATATAAATTTGAATTTTATAATAAAATAAATATTTAATTTTTAATTAACTTATTTGTTTATTTATTTATTTATAATCTAAATTATTTCTCTGTTCTTATTGAGTAAAATTAACAAAAAATAATATTTTAATTAATATACTAAGGCCAAGTTTGGGTAGTTTAAAAAAAGCCAAAAAGTCAAAAAGTTACTCAAAAAGTTAAAAAGTCATTACTATTTACCAAAAGTTAACAATTACGGCTGCACAATTCCCAATTCTAATTTTCCCCTAGAAACTAATTTTTACAATTTTTTATTACACATTTTCCATAAAAAGTCAAAAAGTTAACCCAAACATTTATATTTTCAACCTCAACTTTTTAGTCTAAAAAGACAAAAAGTGCACTTATTTAGTCTTCCCAAACTTAGCCTAAGTGTAAGTATATGAAAAGTGTCTACAACACTTTTTTTACTTGAGTTTAGTAAATAAAATATTATTTTTTATTAATTTTTACTTAATGAAAATAGATACAATTTGGATGGAAAACAAATCAAAATATTAAAATTTAAATTGATAAAATAAAAAAATTAACTTTAATTTTAATTTATTGCAAGATTCAAATTTTTTTTAAAAAAATCGAATTTCTCCTATTTATTTATTGGATTTTCACCTGGGTTTGTATTGTTTGGGGTGTCGTAAATAAGTGCACTTTTTGTCTTTTTAGACTAAAAAATTGAGGAAAAAAATATAGATGCTTGGGTTAACTTTTTGACTTTTTATGAAAAAATGTGTATTAAAAATTGTATAAATTAATGTATAGGGAAAAATTTGGATTGAGAGTTGTGCAGCTTTAATTTTTGACTTTTGGTGAATAGTGAAAACTTTTTAACTTTTTGAGTAACTTTTTGATTTTTTTTCAACTTGCCAAACTTGTGTAGTCCAAAGACCAAAATCGTGGATCGGTTTGGCATTGCAGTTCTCACTAGTTTTTTATTTTTTATTTTTTTTCAAAACTTATCTACTCCTAAAATAAAATGGTTGTATCAATTAGTTTTATATATTTTTAATTATTATCACAAAAAAAATTGAGAAGCTGGTACATCCCACCACTACCAGACTTTCGTTAGACCGCACTAAAGGCTTACTGGAATATTCAACATCATCGGAAAGTCGTTGAAGTACCGCCGGAGTGTTCTAAATGTCATTAGAAGTCACCAGAATATCCAGAACGTTCGTTGGACGTCAAGAATACTGTCGGAGATTCACCAAAATATCCAGAATATTATCGGGAAAAAAAAAAGAATAAATGGAGAAATTAGAGCTAAAAATATAGCAAAATGTGTTAAATATTAATAAATTGAAAGGGAAAAAAAAAGTAACAATAACAATAGAAAAAAAACATATGTTATTTTTCAATTTTTGTAGGGTTTAAGCAAATAATCTGTAATATTGATCAAACTGAAAAGTAAGTTTTGAAACTGTAAAATTGTTACAGTTTCAAAGAATAATTCTGTTAAGCATTATTCCTTATTAATCAAATTGATAAATATGTTATTAAACTGCAAATGTTTACAATAAAAGCATGTTATGAAATTGCAAAATTTTACATTTTTAAAGTATGATTCATTTCAACATCAAAAAAACTAAAACTAAAAAATTTCACAGTTTTCACCGCTTATAACTAAAACTTGAAAACAACTTATTCAGAATTTGAAAATTTCCTACATTAAAATAGGAAAAGATAAATGTGTAGCAGAGAAAAAGTAGCAAAACTAAGAGATCGAAGAAAAGAGATAGATATAAAGAGAGAATTGTATTTCGACAACTATTTTTGTTTTAGATCTAACCGAATTTGATGTAGATCTACTTAGATCTGATTCTTCTCCAAAAACTCATCTCCTTCGTCGTCGGTAAGAGTGAAGCAAGAAGTTGGCAATCAATGGTTGCCGATGAACCCCAAGTGGTCATCGATAACTATATATTAGAAAGAGAGAGAAAATAAGAAAAGCATGATCGCTGGTCGTTAGATATTTGAAAGAGAAATAGAAAGAGAAAGAAAGAAAACATAGATAAAGAGAATAAGGAAAACACCAATGACATTTGGGTCTACTCCAAAGGTTATCGGATTAAATAGAGTACACATCTTTCAAAGGCTCCATTTGGAAAGTTGGCTATTTTAGTAGTTGACTATTTTAGCCTGACTAAAATAGTTGGTTTGGAAAAAGAATTAGATTTTTTTTGTAATTAGATATAATATTTATAAAAGAAAAAGTGAAATGATTATGAGTTTGATGTGATATTTTATCTTATCAACTATTTTAACATATTTTATTTTTTAATACTATTTTAGTCCAAAAAATCAAAAAAGTTTCATCCCAAACACCCAAAAAAGAACATGCGGCCAATTTGCCCATTTTTTTCTTTTTTTTCCTTTTTTTAAGAGTATATCATTTGAGAATTGTTAAAAAGTTAATAATAAGAAAGTTGGTTTTATAGGTATTTTCAAAACATTCACTTTTTAACTTATTTAATTAAAGATGTAGGTGCTGATTTCCGACTACACTGCCAAACAAGGAACGCAGCTGGAGAGCACAGGCAGAATAGATTACGCCCAAACAACATGTCAGAGAAAGATAAGACTCCAACGATGGTTCGTCCACCCGGGGGCACTCCGACGATCAAGTCAGTACTCAGTTTATCTCTCAAAGATAGCAAATAATGCTTAACTCACAAGCCAAAATACAAAAAAGCGTACCTTAGACCCACGAAGGTGCCTTACTTTTATAGCCAGCACTAACCTGATCCTTGTAGAAGCCTAGCTTCAATGGACTTTGGCTCAATGCTTATCTGGAACTCTCAACTAGATAGAGATAAACTCCCAAAGAGCTTTATCTTTATCCAGACTGAGATCTTTCCCCATTCTAGGACTCTTATCCCTTATCCGCTCACCTCGAATTCTGGTATCTTCGCAGATAACCTCAACCTAGCCGAGATCATCCTAACATACGACCAAGCCACGTGGCACTCTAGCTGACACGTCGGCGTCACCTCGGCCACGTGTTGTCATTCACAAAATATCTCCCCACAACTGCCCCCTAGGTTCTATTACCTCGGCATACTAAGGTGATGGAACCTACATCGTTTGTCCTCTCAGAACGTTGGCTAAGACTTACTCCATCATTCATGATTGAATTCATCACACGTCGGTTTGTCATGACCAAGACTCTGCAGTCTACTTTTTCAATGACCAAGAACCAAGAATCAAGTTCTTCAAGTTCCTTAACCAGGACCGTTCCCCTAGCCGAGGTCCCTACTTCATTAAATCAAGAACTCCAAGAGTTTCATCTGCGCATAAGCTGTCATGCACGGTTTTCTCAACCGTTTTATCCACGCGTCCTTTTCTCATTGATCTGTACCTGACACGCACGACTAGGTCCCGTCGCTTCTGCGCGCTCTGCCTGATAGACACGTCGTCCAAGGCACATTCATTGTGGTTTTGCCGCATTTTCGTGTTTTAACAAAAACTATTTCCATCTTTCCGTCTTTTCTTTTCGCATCTTTGATTTTGTTCAAGCTTTCTCTCTTTCAAACTGCCATTGTCCAAGTTCTCGAGCTCTGCAACTTGCTCCATTTATTCCCTCTGGCGAAGCACTCACGATTCTGCTCCATTCACCGTCACCATCTAACTCTAGCGTACCTCATAGCGACGTCATTCTCTTCGATGAGTCACTGTTTTTCCCCTTTTCAGTCTTGGATTTATTTCAAACTCTATTGCGTTGTTTGTTGCCATTGTGAGTTTGTTCGTGTTCTTGAATCTTTGCATGTGCTTTATATTTCATCATTCGTGCGTTAAGCATGTTTGTTTACGATTTTGTGTTTGTCCAATCTGTCTCTAGGTCTATACATGCACACACGAACTGCTCATACACTTGATGTTTTTGTAATTTGGCACTGTCCTTGGCTTTTGCACATCTGCACACACTTTATTCAGTGTTCTTGAATTTTTATTTGTTTTCTTAAGTCTGAATCATTGTTCTTTTCTATTTTTCTTACTCTTTTTTTTTCCAGATTCTAGCCTTTGATTCCTATATCTGCGTAGATTTAGGTTTAGGATTTGATCTAGAACTCTGTTCTTTAGGAAAATCGAACCAAAACCCCCTTAGATTCTCAGAAACCTTTACTCCAATGCTCTCTAGGGCTTAGCCGAGATAATTTGCCACTTTCCAAACCTCATACCAAAAACCCTGAAATTGGACCCACTTTGGCCAAGATAATGGGCATGTTCAGGTGGAGAGTTGACACACTTTCTAAGCTAAAGTACTTTAGGAGAGAGTTCTCCATCCCAACCGATGTTCGCCTTAGGCTGGCAGGAGAGGAGGACTCCATCATGCCTGATGGAGACTCCATGCCTTTCCCCGTAGTTGTTTTCATAGAGTGTGAACTTCGGTTCCCTCTAAACATCCTTTTCTGATAAGTCCTTCATTACTACAAGCTCAACCTGATGTAACTGGCTATTAACTCCTATAGAGTTATTAATGGTATAATTGCTCTGGCTAGCCGAGAAAATGCTAGGATAACATTAGCCAATATCCAATATCGTTACACTATGTGTAGCCTGAAATCTGAAAAAAGGCTACGTCTATTACCTCAAGCCGAGATCCACAGCCTACAAATTTATAGCCGACTTCCCAGACTCCAACAAAGGTGCTAGAGATGATTATTTCATCGTCTCGGGCAACTGGGAGTACTCACCTGATGACGACCTCCACCTTTATCCTTTGAGTCGATCAGTGTTTAAAGAGGGTGATGGTAAGAACCAAGTGTCACTTTACATGCTTTTAAGTCTTATCACTTTATTTCCTTTATATGTTCTAATGTCTGATTCTTGTACTTGCAGTTTTTCCTTAGCCATCAAAAGACTTCCGCAAAACCTTCTTCCCCAGCAAAGACCTTAAGAAGCTGCTAGGTTTGCCAGTTGACCAGCGCAAAGCTCCTTACTGCTCAACTATATAACGACGTACAAATCTGCACTGCCCGACATCTCCAAGAAGAGCAAGTCTCCACCTTCAACAACAACTCCACAAGCCGAATCATCATCAAGGCTAGATCAGGAATCTACCTCTAGTCCTGTTGAGCAACCATTCACCTCTGCTCCCCAATTGATTCCTCCACATCAGCGCCGACGTCATCGCTGTGCTCCTGCCAACGCTTCAGCTGGGAGAACTCGAAGCCACAAACGCCAAAGCAGTGAGGCGTTGGCTTATAATCCAGCAAACCCACCTATCGCACTCCCAGTATTCCATTTAAGTACCAAAGTAACAGTTGCCTCCACAGCCAACGAAATGGGCTGCAAACCGGCAATTGTTGAAGACCTTCTAGCCGACATCCCAAGGGTTGTGACAGTGCAATCCTCGTCTTTCTTATCCCAACCAAATCCAAAGCCAACACGGATGAAGAAAGCCAAAGCAAAGGCCACAGTGACTCAAATCGATTCTGAGGACACTATACCAATTTCAAAACTAGCCGAGGTCGAAAAGAGCGTTCCTTCTGCTGAAAAAAGGCCAGCCGAGGCACCATCATCTGAAGCTAGGAATGGCAACGGGCCAGGGATCACACTCCCTATCCTCGATCCCCGACGACAAAAATTTCCCCATCCTCGACGGGGAAGCTATCACCACCCCCGTCCTTGTCCTCTAACGGGGATCGGGTTTCCCCGACCCTAAAAATTTTTCGGTCTAAAAAAAAAAAAATAACAGATCAACAACATCATACATCAACAAACAATAACAAATGATCTGTTGCAGATCATGTATAAACACAACAGATTTGGGAATGATTAGTGAGATCGACGAGATCTGGGAGGAGGGAAAGGACAGCGGAGGAACTGCCGCCACTGCCATGGGCGAGATCGAAGATTGGCGCGATGAGAGGAGGGAGAGGACGTCAGAAAAGCTGCTGCCACCACCATCGGTGAGATCGGAGATCGGCGAGATGGGAGGAGGGAGAAGACAACGGAGGAAGGAGAGGAACCGTCGCCGCTACCGCCGACGTCGTGGGGAGCACTTGCAGAGAGAGCGAGAGCTTTGTATTTGTGTGTGAGTGAGTGAGTGGTCACTGGTCAGCCAAACCCTATACATACACATGTATTATATACATAAACAGGGGCAAAATAGTAATTACATGTCGCGGGGGCAAGTGGGGCTGGGATGGGGGCCGGGTCCAGGACTGAAACATGTATCCCCGTCCCCGGCCTGAATATCATCGGGGATTCAATTCTTAATACCGTCCCTGGCCCGTCGGGGGTATTTTTTGGGGAATAACCGCTTAATTCGGGATCAGGGAATCGGGTCGCCATCGGGATGAGGTTTGATTGCCATCTCTATCTGAAGCCCCACTGGCCAAAAAGCCGAGATCCGACCACCTAGAAGGCACTAGCTATTACCGCACCATGACCTAGGCGCTTGAGGTTATGGTTGACAACAGAGCCCTTACTGCCAGTGACAATGCTGCAAATCTTGAAGTCGACGCAACCCTGTCAACGGCTGTTCTTCTGCCCGAAGACATGAATCACATGGCAGAGTTACACGAATACGAAACTTTGCCCTCATGATGCAACACTCGGTCTTGGTAAGTCTCTTTACTCTTTTGTAGTCTTTCTATACTTAGTCAATTTTTACTAACCTATTTTTTACTTCTTGCAAGCCATCCAGCACGTTCACTCCTATGCTGTTAAAACCGAGATGATAAGGAAGGAGTTGGCAAGGAAGACCAAGGATGATGCCAAACTTCTATCCTCGCTCAACCATGCCAAGGCCAACAATCGAGCACTGTTGGATCAAGCTAAGGCCTCTAAAATTACTCAAGACTTGGCCAAGGAAAAAGCAAAAACTGCCCATGATGAAGCCGAAGCCGCAAGAGCCGACCTTGAAACTGCCAAGGCCAAGGCAACTGACTTAGAGGCCAAGCTTCAAGAAGCCCTTGCCTCAAAGGAGGCCGAAATAAAGGCGGCCGATGAGAAAGCTTTTGAGGAGGGACAAGTCGCCATCCGCAACCTATACAGACAATAACTCAACCTGGCTTGCAACCGAGGTTACTACCTTGGTTGGACAGCGGCACTCAACAAGCTATCTGTGCCAATGGACTCTGACCTCCAAGACATCAATGAACTTGAGGTGCCTTTCCCTCCAGAGCCCGAAGATGACGCCAAGG